ATTATACTGACCGGCATTAAAATTTGTTGCTGCGATTTCATTTGTGTAGATATAAATGAATGCAGGAATAATCCATGTCACGCTCAAGCAACTTGCACGGATACAATTGGCTCTTACACTTGTACATGTAACCAAGGATATTCTGGAAATGGTTTCAACTGTGCGGGTAAGCAAATGCATCAATCATTTTTTGAGGTTATCATGATTATTGAGATGATGAAAACTCACATAGTCAATCAAGATATGATCTGGAATCTCGGTCTTTGTTCTATCTTTTTATTCATGTTTGTGGAAACTTGTGTACGCTAAAAGCATTTTTGGTATAATGAAAAAAGATAAGATAATTATTGCATAATATAAATCACGAGTAACTATCACCATCGCTAACTATCACAAGACTGTTGTGAAACTGTACTTATTTCTTGCTTAAATTTTTAGATAGAAATGAATGTCCCACATCTAACCCATGCCATGTTCGAGCTACCTGTACAAACACACAAGGATCATATTTCTGCACTTGTAATGATGGTTTCTCTGGGGATGGCAGACTTGTCTGTGACGGTGAATTATCATTAATGTTTTATCTAAACCAAAAGCTTGTTATATTGACACGCGATAAATCTTCGTACTTATATTAAACTTTACCCCCAAAAGTGTTCGGATTATGAAAGAAACTGGAGTTCATTATTTCTTCTACTGAGTAGTGGTTCATGTCAAGTTGTCGAGAGTGTTATTTGCATTTTTAAAAGAATTTGCAATGTAAAATTGAGCAATGTGCAGTTGGCAGAAAATAATATAACAACTTCAAAGGAACTCCCTACAAAAAACACTAGTCAAGTTGTGAATAAACCAGATCTGAAAGGCTTCTCGATAATGCATTTAAATATTGCAAATTTTATCAAACATATCGATCAACTAAGAATTAATTTAATAGATAAACCTTGCCACATTCTAACTGTTAATGAAACTAGACTAAGTGATGATATAAACGATGGCTTTGTTAAAATAGATGGATACGAAATATTCTGGGCCGATAGAAACCAAGCAGGTGGTGGAGTTGATTTATATATTAAAACAGCTATAAATGCAAATTTGAGACAAGATTTAATTCCAGATGGTCTACAAGCAATATGCTTGGAAATTAAAAGAACAAAAAACAAGCCATTTTTCGTTATCCCCAAGCCGACGGCGCGAAGCGCCGTGTGCGAGGCCCGGTACTAATTCCTCCCCGGCAATTTGCACCCGAGAAAACGAGAAAGTGCGAGATACTAATTCCCCCCGGCAATTTACACCCCTGAAAGGCTAAAGTTCTAAAGTTTGTTCGTTCACTGCAACCAGGTATATCAATCATGTTTCGCTCGCTACTCCGGTTTAAATAAATGATTACAAAGCCCAGTCGAATTGTAATCAAGACCCAACGTTTCGACACTCCAGTCTAGTGTCTTCATCAGGGGTGATCTAAAACTGCGATCGTGGCTTCTTAAATACCCAAGGGATGACGTCACCTGCCAAGAAGATGCATATATTCTTCTGGCAAATAGGCGCCGTCATCCCTATTCAAAGCATGATGACTCATATTTATATGCCACGCTTCTAGGCAAAGTCTTTGACCATAGCGATTGTTTGTGGTAATTACTTTAGAGTTTTCCCACGCAATCTCGTGTTTGGTGTAACATACATGTTCGGCTAAAGCTGATTTTCCCTTGTCTAAAGTTGAAACAGCCTTTTGATGTTCTTTTAGCCGTGTACCAAACTGGCGTTTAGACTGACCCAAATACTCTTTATCGCAGTCACCGCATGGTATAGAATATATAGCATGAGTCTTCTGATTTTTTTCAACAGGATCTTTTGGCTTTGCGAAAATATGGCCTAAGGTCAAATAGGGTTTTAAGGCAACCTTAATATTACAATTACTTAAGATTCTCTTGATTGGTTCTGTGACACCTTGAATGTATGGAACTATTGCAAAACCCTTAACAGAGGTATCACCCTCGGAGTTATTTTGGTTCCTACAAACAGGTGGTCTCAGGCAATCATTAAGAAAACTCTTTGGGTAATTGTTTTCCCCTAAAACATTTAGAACATATTCACGTTCATTAGCTTGAGAATCACTGTTTGACGGCAACGATTCAGCTCTTTGAAGCAAAGTTTTTGCTACGGATCTTTTATGGCTTACTGGGTGATGAGAGTCGTATGACAAGTATTTGTCTGTGTGTGTGGGTTTGCGATAAACATCAGTCTCTAACTTCCCTTCGACAGTTCTGTGTACATTCAAATCTAAAAAAGCTAAATGTCCATTTATTTCACGTTCTACCGTGAATTGGATGGACGGCTCAATAGAATTTAAATGTTGCAGCAGAATATCGATCTCATTTGTAGAAACCGCAGAGATGACATCATCGACGAAACGTTTCCAAAACGATAGGGACACCGGAACAGAGGCTAAAGCTCTTTGTTCGACATCTTCCATTACTAAATTAGCAATTACTGCCGAAACTGGTGACCCCATCGCTGTTCCAAAAACCTGTTGATAATAACAGCCCTCAAACACAAAATATGTGGCGTTGAGACAAAAAGACAGAAGATCAATAATATCTTCTACAGGCAAGGATGTTCTTTGTAACAAAGTGGCATCCTGTCTTAGTCTTTTTGCCGCAACCTTGATGGCAAGATCAAC